ATATATATATATATATATATATATATATATATATATACATATATATAGATATGTATATTCATTCAACCTTTATTTAGACTGGTAAATCCCATTGAGCCTCGAGGACTCATTTACAAGAGAGACCTGATTTCAAATATACACATGTATATATATATATATATACATATCACTCCGTGATAATCAATAGCTGATTTACAGCAGGTAAATCAATGTTCTTAATAATGTTTGCTTGTGTTTACTTCGATCACACAACAATCAACTGAGTTTTTATTTTTATTTTTCCTGAAAAATGAAGAAGCTGTCCTTCCACCAAGTGGACCGGTTCTGTACGAGGCTCGGCCCAGGTGCAGTGAAGGAGGACGTGGAAAAGAGAGAGATGTTGGATGAACTATTTATTTAAAATTCCCCTCAGTTTTTTTATTCAATCCATTCAATATTTTAAGCTGCATTAATCAAAGGAGTGACAGCCTGAACGAGCCAGATGAACAACGTGGGACCAGAGTCCAGGATGAAAACAAGAGTCCAGTTGTTCATTAATGCAGTTTACAGTTAACTTGTTTTAATAGTGTGTTCAGTTTAATTGTCAGTGTTTGTGTGACATACAGTTTGTGGTGTTGAATAAAAAAAAAAAATTAAAATTAAACCTGATGTCCTGATGCATGCTCACCTGATGTCTTTATTTTCAACTTTAGTAACACGCAATATGTTTAGCATCATTTTAATCACATAATTTGAATTACATAATGCCCAGATAGCTTCATTTAGCTCAGAGAGCTTCATTATATCTCAAACTTAAGATAAATACTGTTATTATTAAACTCTTACTATTTAGCACATGATTTAGTATGTTATAGTGCTGCGCGACGTGTGCCTCGTTCTATAAACAGTGATATTAGAACTGGATCAGATTGTGTCTCTTCCAACACAGATGTCGGTCACAGCACCTGGAATCTGACGTAGATTAACTATGAGATTAAAAATATATGCCATCAGTCGTAGTTCAAAAAGCACCGTATCTGCCGCCATATTGATAGAAATATAGCGTCTGTTCATGCGTGCGTGTGCGCATGTGGTTTAAAACAAAGCCTCAGCGGGGGTTCAGCAAAAAACCTCCACTCTGGAAGGTGGGTTCAGAAACCTCCAGATTCAAAGAGGGGGCCACTGGTGTCGTGTAAATGATCAGCAGAACCGCAGAGAGAAAGCTGCGGATGCACTCAAAATATGTGCCGTGTAAACAGCCCCTTATAAACATTTACACACATTTACATAGGCATATGATGATAAGATGGTGAGATTTGTCCATGAAGCACTTCCAGATAGCCCATAGTCCTGTTAAGATGTTTGTGTCAGCCGGTGCAGCTCTTATAAGCATTCACAGAGGTTCTCGGGGTGGGGGTGGTTGTGGAATAGACAGAGCTTTCTTAGTTTACACATATTCCATGAGAAATTTTCAGGCAGACTCTTAATTTCTCATTAAAAAAAAGAAACTGTCTAGATGAACTGACTGAAAATTGTTGGATTGTATACCTGGATTATTGAGCATGGACTTTGTTGGTCATCAGCCTCGAGTTCTGCTGGTACTTTTGATCCAAGATGGCCAGATTTGTGGGCATTCCACTGGTCCCTGCTTATTAGCTCCCTCCAAGGTCTTCCCCAACATGCTGGCGAGTCCCAGAAGCCGCAAGTGGCCTGTGATTCTCACAAATTGCTTCCATCTTATGTTTAACTTGTAAATCAGCTGATTTTGAGTGCTCGAAGCATGAACCAAACCTTCACACAGGGTCGGCAGCTTTGCCATGGCCGAAACTGCTGCCGCAGTCTTCTTTAATAGCCGATAACACAGGTGTCTGCTGGTGCCAAAAAGCAGAAACCCTGCTATCATGATTCCAATTACATGAACATCTTTGGCATCCTCCTGAAACAATACAGAAGGACATATCAAATTCCAAACTCCCCACGGATCCATGACATATCCTGAGGTGTGCGTCTCAGTGGGGCATGAGGGTTCTCCAGGACCCTGTCGCTGTAAAAATTTAGACACTATTATGTTACCTTTAGTTTTTAGCTACTATTATGTGGCTTTTAGTTTTTAGCTACTGTTCTGCTACTTATAGAGTTTAACTACTTTTCTACTCATTTTAGCTACCATTCTGCTACCTTTAGCTAATAGCTACCATTCTGTGTATAAAATGTTAGTACTATTCTGTTACTTTTAGTTTTAGCTACCACCTTATTCTTCTAGTAGCTTTTAACTACTTTTCTACTACTTGTAGCTATCATTCTGCTGAGTTTAGTTTATAGCTACCATTCTGCTATGTATAAAATTTAGCTACTATTCTGTTATCTTTAGTTTTAGCTACTTTTCTACTATCCTGATGCATGCTCAATAATCCAGGTAGAAAAATCCAAAAAAGTTCAATCTGGTCCTCTGGACATTCAAAAAAAGTTTGCAGTTTGACTCCCATCACCCTTTGGAGCACAAGTTAGGAGTCATCAGGACTCTGTACCACAGAGCAGACAGCATCCCCACTAACTCAGGAGCCAGGCAGAAGGAGAAATCCTACACAAGACAGGCTCAAGAGCAATGTGGATATCCTAACTGGGCTTTCCTGAAAGCAGAGAAGAAACCCAAACAGGACTCCAGTCAGCCAACAGGTGAAAAGGAG